ATATGCTTCCTGCAACAGGATATGAAATACAAGACTGTAAGCACCTGGACAAGAAATGGAATTTGCAAACCAATTGAATGGGATGTTTCTAAGGACTTTCTTATTTGGATTACCTAATCTGAACTGCACACAGTCACAAGAGTCTGGGGTTTCTAAGTGGCAGTTCCTAGAGTAGCATCCCAGGGCTGGAAAAGCATCTTCTGGGCCCAGCTCACCGGACAGTTAGTTCTGACAAGTGCTGACTATGGACATCATCACCCTATTGGGTCTAATGGCTGCATACCCAGCAGGCACTTCTACTGTAGATGGTTCACCACAGGCTGACCATGAACTTGCTTTTAGCTAGTCCAGGAAATCCTATTCTCCTGGCTGGTGGTTATTTTAATTTTTGTTTTGTTTTTATGTTCTTACCCAGCAGTGCTCAGTGTTTACTCCTGGCTCTATGACCAGGGATCACTCCTGGTTGTGCTTAGGGAACTGTATGGGGTACCCGGGATCAAATCAAGGTCAGCTGCATGTAAAGCAAGCACCTTACCCCTGTACTATCTCTCCAGCCTGGTTATTTTCATTTTGGGGGGGGGCCACACTCAGTGGTGCTTAGGGCTTACTTCTGACTCTGTGCTCAGGGATCACCATGGGTAAGGCTTGAGGGACCATATGGGGTGCTGGGAACTGAATCCAGGTTAATTGTGTGCAAGGCAAGTGTCCTACATGCTGTATTATCTCTCTTGTCCCATGGTTATTTAAATTTTTATTATTATTTTATGAAGAGCCAGGGATTAAACCCAGGGCCTTTTTCACACAAGACATGAGCTCTACCACTAAGCCATATGACCCAGTGTTGGTAAAAAAAACAGACAAGACTTCTCGCCCACCCTCCATCCCCAGGAAAAAAAAAACTCTCACTAGTATGGAATGTACATTGCTGTGCATTTTTCTTCTTTTAAACAATACTCTGAGGGGTAGGTCTCCTGGGGCCAGGTAAGGATCAGAACAGTGACACAGCCTCTCAAAGCTGTAGCAAGAGAAACTGGATCTACTGATTCAAATTCTGTGTTTTTTTTTTCCCCCCTCACTCCCCATAGCCTGCTCCTCCCTCCATGAATCAAGCCCTGGGAGAATGAGAGGGAAAGAAAGGGGAGAAGACTCAAAGGATAAGGAATGGTGATTTCTGGGATTATACAGCCCTTCTTGTGCTCATCAAAAGTTTTTTCTGAAATTCTTTAACATCTACGAAAAACCACATATGCTTAACACACCCAGCCCAACAGCTTGTAGTAGCCTGGAATTCCAGAATAAATACTGAAATTGGCAGGACACATAGTATCCTTCCTCTCAATGGGTCACGTGAGGACATTGCCTAACATCCATCACGTGTGTGTCTGGGAACATACAATATTTGTGCCTCATCGAACCTTCAGATGCTTCGTTCTCATGTCAAAAAAGAACTCCTAATCAAAGTTAAAATGTCATCAAAATCAGGCCCCAAAGACCTACAGATTCTTTTTCAGTAGAGGAGACTGGTGTGTCCTCCCAGCCTCGAAAGAGAACAGCTCGGATGAAATCATGCCAAGTACTGAGTAAATGGGAGGAGTCTGTTAGTGGAAACCATAACTCTATGCTGTGGTTGTATTTTCACAATACTTTGGGGGTGGAAGGGTAGTCTTTCTGCCTGGATAGGCTGGAAGGCTCCTTCACATTTTGTTCAGTTCAGGGGAAACACAGCCCAGATCTGAGTGTTAAGACCAAGTCATGAGACTCACTGGAGTCAAACTCTGGCACCAGCTCTGACTGCTTCAAGGCAGCTGTGATTTCACCCTAACAAAACCATCTAGATCATGTCCATGTGAAAATAAAACAAAACAAAACAAAACCCCAAACAACAACATCTCAGCAGAATCTAGCACTCTATAAAATTTTAGTTTTTTAAATTTAAAAAAAAATTTATTTTTTTCTATAAAATTTTAGATGAGGCCTTTCAAGAGTGGATCCTTAACTTGTCTTCAGTAGGAAGTTTACCATAGGGGTAAGGGGGGAGAGAGACACTGCACAGCGGTGAAGGGGGTGAAATATTATACACAAAGCCTTATTGGTAACACTTGCCATGCATGTGGCCTACCAGAGTTCGATCCTTGGGACTGCATATGGTCTCTCAAGTCCCATCAGTACTGATTTCTGAGCACAGAGTCAGGTGAAACCCCTGAGCACCACTGGGTGTGCCCCCCATGCCACCCTAAAATAAAACAAAAAAACCTCCAACAAAGTTGGCTTTTATTAACCAAGGGGCAATCACTAATATGAAATAACTCAATTCAGAGGCTGGATTGATAGCACAGTGGTTAGGGTGTTTGCCTTGAATGTGGTTGACCCGGTTTCAATCCCTGGCATCCCATATAGTCCATCTGTGCATCATTAGGAGTAATTCCTGAGTGCAGGGCCAGGAGTAACCCCTAAGCACTAAAAAAAAAAGGACTCATTTCATAAATTACTTTTGAAATAGCTTGTTCTTTTATTTATTTTTTCGGGGGAGCTATCATGACTTGCAAGTTCATGGCTTGTCCCAGCAATCCTTAGTCAATGGGTAGCTTAAGCATATGGTTCTCTGAGCATCTGGGCTGCACCCAGTGATATGGGAACTAAGTGGTGTTGGGGATGAAACAGGGGTGAGATGCATGTGAAACACGTGTCTTAAATCCTATACTCTCTCTCTGGTCCCATGAAATAACTGGTTCATATTGATATAAAAAATATGCTCAAGACTTGATACTGGGGTAGACAGACAAAGATGAACATTGCATGACATCACTTGATTGTGGAATCTAAAAGAGCCAAACACAGAAAAACTAAGTAGACTGATAGTTACTAAAGGGTGGGGGATATAGAAAATGAGGTTATATTGGTCAAAGGTGCTAACCATCCAGTTACAAGATGAGAAAATTTAGGTATATAATGTATAGCATCATGATTATACCTAATGGTATTATGTCATATAGTATTTGAGAGTTGAGATCTTAAAATATTCTCACCACAGAAGCAAAATGGTGGGGACTGAGCAACGTAGTACAAAGGGTAGGGTATTTGCCCTGCACACAGCCGACCTGGCCTTTGATCCTTGGTGCCCCATAAGGTACCCTAACCACTGCCAGGAGTGATACCTGAACCCAGAGCCAGGAGTAAGCTCAGGGCACTTTAGGATGTAGCTCCCTCCCCATCAACATCAACAGAATACCCCAAAATGGTAATTATGAAAAGGGTTGAGAAAGGTTGCAGTGTTAGTCAAAGCGATGATGTAATTTGTATCAAATCAATAGGTACACCTCGAATTACATCACAAAAATGTTGAGGTGAGGGAAACAGCTATGGTTAAGTACAGTGGAAGACTCAATATAAGTATTTCTAGAAAGCACTTTTATACCTCAAATGAGTTAGATGCACCCCAAATGTCCTGATTTGTCCTATGACCAAAAAACTGGAGACGGTTCAGTGAAACTATGCATTAAAAAAATAAATTAGGGAGCTGAAGTGATAGTATAGCAGATAAGGGCGCTTGCCTTGTATCCGGCCAACCTGGGTTTGATCCCTGGCACCACATATGGTCTCCTGAGCCCCACCAGAAATGAACCAGGAGAGTCAAGAATAAACCCTGTACACTGCTGAGCACCAAAAGAAACCAAACCAAAATCAAAACCAAAAACAAAAAAGGAAGAATGCGAGAAAGGCACTTTTGATGATGAAAAAACACTTTTTGGGGGGGCAGGTGGCGGTGGTTGGCTATGCCCAGTAATACTCAGGGCTTACTCCTGGCTCTGAACTCAGGAATTACTCCTGGTGGTGTTTAGGTACCATATGGGATGCCAGGGATCAAACTTGGGTTGGCTGCCTGCAAGGCAAGTGCCCTAACTGCTGTACTATCCACTCTGGCCCCAAGCATTTTTATCTTTCATAGAGGTGACAAACTCCCAGCAATGCTTAGGCCTGGCTGTGTGTGTTGCTCTGGGACAACAGAGCCGCCCTTGGGGGTGATTAGGGGGAGGGGGCATGAGATGCTGAGGATCAAATTCAAGAGTCTCTTACATGCAAAGGCATGAACTCTAATACTTAAGACTTAAGGTATCTTAACTTTTTTTTTTTTAAATAATGGGTTAACATTTTTCTAAGAGTAAGTCTAGTATTACCTGGGGAGCAACCAGTTTCCATTTTGGTAAAGCAATCACATCTGGCCTTAGAGCATGCTGGGAAATGTTAATTAAAATCTGCTCCTAGGGCCTGCAGCAAGTGAGGCGCTTGCCTTACATGTGGCTGACCTATGTCTGCTACCTGCCACTCCATATAGTCTCCCGAACAAAGTCAAGAATAAGCCCTAAACATTGGAAGCCCTAACCTGCACCCAAGAAACCAAACCAAACCAAACCAAATCAATCAAACCAAACCAAACTCTTGCTCCTAGTAAAAGTAAAGAATAGCGTCTCACAGTTTGGTTCAAATGCTTGTAGTTCAGATTAAATGCCTCATCTTCAGTCTGGAGTGACTCAGTGGGCTGGAGCATATGATTTGCATGCTGGAGAGCCCAGTTATATCCGAGCACTTGTCTCCCTGATCACCTCTGGAAATAACGCTTGGGCAGAGCTGGGAGTGCCCCAAAACCAAATGAAAATAATGTTGATTTTTTTTTTTTTTTACGGGGTGGGCGCATCTAGCGATGCTCAGGGGTTACTACTAGCTCTGCACTCCAGAATTACTGGTAGTGCTTTGGGGAAACTATGCAGGGTGCTAGAAACCAAACTCAGTTCAGCTGTGTACCAGGCTAGTGCCTTGCCTTACCCACAATACTATCACTCCAGCCCAGAAAACAATGCTAATTCTAAATGCTTGTACTTACAAAATCAATAGAGGTTTCAATTTTCAAAATGTATCACAAATTGGCCTGAGAACTAGCTGCAGAGAAGGATGTTTCAACTTGTCTGAGGGAGCATAAATGAGAGAAAAGCCTAGAGACTCACCTTGCCAGCAAGATGCCCTGGTATTCTTCCAGTTGTCTCATGAAGCTGGGGTTGGGCTTGGTCACTGTGCGTCTCTCCTTCACGTAGTCATACGCTCGGTCCAGATTCCAGCCATATTCCTTCATTGCATAGGCAATCACAGTGGAGGCAGAGCGACTCACTCCCATTTTGCAGTGCACAAGACATTTAGATCCATGTTTCCTAGTTTGGAGGATTGAGGTAAAGAAAACACAATAGTGACTATACTTTAAAAAAAAAAAAGAAGGTTCTAATAAGTTTCCTGTCTTATCTTTCCATTTTCTTGCTATGCAATGCTCATACTTCTTTTGTTTGTTTGTTTGTTTTTTTGTTTTGGGGCCAGGCCTGGTAGTACTCTGCACACATCCATAAACAGTGTAGGGAAGGCAGGTGATTCTTGAGTATGCAGTGTTGGGGTGGAAGAGACAGTACAGTGGGTAAGGTATGCAGTCAACCGAGAGGACCCAGGTTCGATCCCTGGTGTCATATAATGACCCCCCGAGCCCTGCTAGGAGTGAGGCCCGAAGTAAACCTTCAACAATGCTGGGTGCTGCTCCAAAGAAAACAAAAGGAAAGCAATGCTAAGTTTTTGGTTTTCTTTTGGGTCATACTCAGCATTTTTCAGGGATCACTCCTGACAGTGCTTGGTGACCAAAGCAATGCTGGGGATCAAACCCAAATGAACCACGTGTAAGGCAAGGGATGCTCAATCCCTTGTTCTATCTCTCTGGCCCCAATAAAATGCTAATTTTAAGATTTCCTAATTTATCTGGCAAATATTTACAGGCATTTATCATTATATAAGCCAATGAGTAAGATTCTGAGATGCAAAGTAGGAGTTTTGCCTTAAATTGTCTGGGAGAGATAGTACTGCAGGGAGGGCATTTGCCTTGCACATGGCCAACCGGGTTTTGATCCTAAGACCCCTTAGGTCCCCTAAGCACAGAGCCAGGAGTAAGTCCTGAGGACTACCAGTGTGGCCTCAATACAAAGGGAAAAAAAAAAAAACAAAATAAAAAGAATTCAGTAGGGGCTGGAGCGCTAACAACAGCAGGTAAGGCATTTGCCTTGCACGTGGCTGACCCGGGTTCGATTCCCAGCATCCCATATGGTCCCCCGAGCATGGCCAGGAGTAATTCCTGAATGCAGAGCCAGGAGTAACCCCTGTGCATCGCTGGGTGTGACCCAAAAAGAAAAAAAAAAAAGAATTCAGCAGAACAATCAGATAAAGTCAGATAATTAAAACCCAAAATGGGGGACCCAGGGTGGCTCCAAGGGTTAAAACAGATGCGTTCCATGTCAGAGGCTGAGGCTGAACCCTAGCATGGCATAGTCCCCTGAGCACCATCAGATAATCCCCAAACACAGCACTGGGAGAAGCCCCTGAGTACCACTGGGTGTGAACAAAAGCCCTTAAAAAAATTCAAAATACAGCTGAAGAGATAATACAAAGAACTGGAGGGTGCATCTTACAAGCATGAGGCACTCAGCGTCAAATGTACCTCAAGCACACTCCTGCCTGAATGTGGCTGTGTGCTGCCTGAACCTGATGGTGCACTCCTAGCAACCCCTTTCCTGCCAGGATTGAGTAGAGCACCACTGGGCAGAGTGGCTGCCAGTACTGCCAGGGAAGACCTCTATAAAGTAGATCAACAAAATCCAAAAAGGTAAATGCAACGACACAAACCGTGGAGGGGCACCTTCATGTTAGACCCCGGACCCCATTTTGTGCCAGCTGCTCTTACCCCCCCAGGCATGCTTCATGGCTGGCATACTCAAATTACAGGTGTGGCAGTGACTCATCCCATTTACCCAAGTGTTATGAGTTGCTTCCAGTTCCAGTAAGGGTTCTATCCCTGGAGCAAAGTACAAATCAAATGAAATCAACCCTCTTCTTTATTCAGATATAGCCCTGGCTATTACTTTTCACAACACCACACTGGGATGGGCTACACAATTGGTGGAATTGTACAGGGCCATGTGCTATGCTGGGTGACTTTCTCAGTGAGGACAGTGGGATAAATAACTACACTGAAAAAAAAAATTGGGTGGAAGACTAAAAAAAAGGAACTTTATAGTGACACTAAAAAACAAACAAATGCTCTGAACCTTAACATGTCAAGACTTATTACTTTCAATACAAACATTATTCAGCTCTATTAATTCTGCTTAAAACACAGTGCCTTGGGGCTGGAGCAATAGCACAGCAGGTAGGGCATCTGCCTTGCACGCGGCCGACCTGGGTTCGATTCCCAGCATCCCATATGGTCCCCCGAGCACAGCTAGGAGTGATTCCTGAGTGCAAAGCCAAGAGTAACCCCTGAGCATCACAGGGTGTGACCCAAAAAGCAGAAAAAAACCCCTCAAAAAACAAAAAAAAAAACCAGTGCCTTTCACAAAATAAGTCTTCAAATATGAAGTAATATATGAAAAATGTATGCATCTGTTGTTTTAGTTATAAGTCAGAACATGCTTTCTTCCTTGTTTTTCAGCCATTCCTGGGACCATATTTAGTGCCAGAGATTGAACCCAGGCCTTTCTGTAAGTACAAACATTTTATTTATTTTTATTTTATTTTACCCAGCAGTGCTTAGGGGTATTCCTGGCTCTGAGCTCAGGAATCATTCCTGGTGGTGCTTGGGGGAGCTGGGGATTGTACCTCGGTCTGCTGTGTGCAAAGCAAGCAAGCGCCTTACCCGCAACACTATTTCCCCAGCCCCAAGTATAAACATTTTAAAATCCGAAAAACAAACAAACAAACAAAACAAACAATGTCCTCCAAATTATTCATCAATTTGCTCAAGCGGGCCCAGTAACGTCTCCATTTTGAGACTTGTTGTTACTGTGTTTGGCATATCGAATATGTCACAGGTAGCCTGCCAGGCTTTGCTGTGAGGGCGAGATACTCTCGGTGGCTTGCCAGGCTCTCCGAGAGGGGCGGAGGAATCCAACCCAGCTCGGCCAGGCCAGCTGCGTGCAAGGCAAACGCCCTACCTGTTGTGCTATCACTCCAGCGCCAAAATCTGAAAAAAGACCAATTACTTAATAGCATACATGGGGACTGGAGTGATAGTACAGCGGGTAGGGCATTTGCCTTGCACATGGGTGACTTGGATTCAATCCCCAGCGTACCATATGGTTTCCCAAGCACCACCAGAAGTAATTCCTGAGTGCAAAGCCAGGAGTAACTCCTGAGCATTGCCAGGTGTGACCCAAAACATAGTGTACATGGGCTGGAATCTTTGGGAATGGGAGTGGGAAATACAATGAATTGATGATGATGATGATTATTTTTGTGTGAAGCAAGAGTTTTTTTTTTTTTTTTTCTTTTTGGGTCACACCTGGTAATGCATCGCTCGCGATAGCACAGCGGGTAGGGCGTCTGCCTTGCACGCAGCCAACATGGCCGACCCGAGTTCGATTCCTCCGCCCCTCTCGGAGAGCCCGGCAAGCTACCGAGAGTATTCGATATGCCAGACACAGTAACAACAAAGTCTCCAATGGAGACGTTACTGGGCCCGCTCGAGCAAATCGACGATCAACGGGAGGGCCTTTACCTTTACCTTTACCTGGTAATGCACAGGGGCTACCGCTCTGGCAGTGCTCGGGAAACCATATGGGATGCTGGGAATTGAATCTGGGTTGGCCACGTGCAAGGCAAATGCCCTATCCGCTGTACTATAGCTCCAGCCCCGAAGCAAGATAGTTTTTCTTAAAACATATTTAGAAAGATGTGAGGGAGGAGAGAGGGAGAGGTGTAACCCCACCCCTCCCCCCCAAAAAAAAAGAAAAAAAAGAAAAGAGAGCGAGAACATAGGTTTCTCCAGAGTGGAAATAAGCAACCAAAGAAACAATCAGACAAATGAGATATGTATTCAAGGGAGAATAAGGAAGAGCAAGAAGGAATCTAATAAATTTAAAAATAATAGCTTTATGGGGAATTTTTTTTCGTTCACTCATTCACTGAATCACAGTAGACATAAGTGTACCTTCAAGAAGCATATAATCTTTCTGAAGACAGGGACATATGAAAGAGTTAACTACCATGAGTGCCAAAATGAATGAGCCAGATAAACTACAGGAATGCAGAGATTAATTTGGAATAATTGAAATGATCTCAAAAGAAAAGGAAAAGTAACGTCCTTCCTACTTGTCAATTAGGTGCCTAAGGCTGCTGAGGGTGGGTGTGTGTCTCCGGGTATTTAGATGAACCTATGTGGGGAAATGCTGATTTTTTCATGAAGGGTTTTCATTGAGACTATCATTGGGAAGCAAATGCACAGTGACTCAAAGGCAAGTTCAGACATGTGCTCTGTATTTTCCCACTAGGCTCTGAAAACTTTATTGCATCGAATTTTAGGTTTTTGCCTGCAGGCATGGAAGCACTCAAACTTGGACAATCCTAAGAAAAATACAATTATGAAATCCACTCTCATAAAAACCTTTCTTCATTTTGAACTAGGCTTATTCAGACGATGGCATCTAACTCATGTAATAAAGAATTCAAAGTCAGTTCCTGCCTAACCTAATTTCACCTTTCAGGTTCAGTGGCCTTCTCTTTATTCCCTAAGAGCTTTCATTCGGATTAAGGCTGCAGTCACTCTAGAAATTTTAAAGCCATAAATCTGTAGGTAGAGTCTAGAATTTACAGTCCTGTTCAGGGTAAGAAACATAAGGCACTCAAGGTATCAGTTTAAGAGTGCAAAGCCAGGAGTAATCTGTGAGAACTGCTGGGTATGACTCCAAAACAAAAAGAAACAAATACTAACACATGCCTCCTGCAGCCCCCACCAAAAAAAAAAAAAAAAAACCCAAATAAACAACCCCTCAGTCTCTAGGCAATGGTGCAGTGTCTAAAGCACCTGTTTGCCTTGCAGGCACGACCATCGCTGCCCAGTGTCACTGCACATGCGGAGCAGGAGATCCCCAGTGCCAAAAGCGAGTGTGTGTGAGCACTGCAGTGACCCCTGGTACACACAAGAACAAGCATGAACATCCCAAGTAAAGAGTGTCACCTCCCAGGAAGCCTGTGTGTGAGCACTGCAACTTGAGTGTGACCTGACCAGAAGCACAACTTAATGTGCAAGAACTCCAATACATGTGTCTATGAACCCCAGTCATATTATATCAACAGATGGAAGAGGGAAGAAAAAATCTCAGTCTCCTTTCTTTCCTTTCTAGCAGGTTATCTAGCGCAGTGTTCTTCAACCTGTGGATGGCATACCGGTCCATGGCCCAGCAGTTATAACCAAGGAAGTAGATCAGTGGTTTTCAACCTTCCTCCACCTGCGGACTGACACTGGCGTGTCAAGAGTACTGCTTCAACCACAAAGTATTGCTCTTAGGCCCCATGATGTGTTTAGGAACATTACTCACTTTGCTTTCGAGATGAATTTGTATGTGTCATTCCAGTATGCCAGGAGATCCGTTGCCTCTTCATCATATACCCGGATATTATGATACTCAAAGACTCCTGGGAAGAAGTTATCTATCTCTCGAGTGACGTTCAGTATATACCGTACCCTGCAAGAAAACGAAGGGAGATTATGTGCTTTGATACTCACGTGAAGTATGATTCACAACATGGTATTTTAAACTTAGAACCTATTCATTCCATTTGCTAAAAAAAATGCTAAGATAAAGAAGAAATGAAAGAATAATCTTATTTAGTAGAGAAACACTGCAAGGTCCTGGGTATGCAGGAAGTTAATGAGAGAAAAGCTGTGCATTAAGTTCGGGACCTAAATTCCATTCTTAGTTTACAGACAGTTACAGAGTTTTTTTTTAAATTTTTTATTTATTTATTTTAATTAGTGAAACACCATGAGGTACAGTTGTAGACTTACAAACTTTTGTGCTTGAGTTTCAGTTATACAATGATCAAGTACCCATCCCTCCACCAGTGCCCATTCCCCACCACCAATTAACCAAGTAGCCCTCCCACCCCCAACCCCTCCACCCCACCCCACCTCTGTGGCAGGGCATTCCCTTTTGCTCTCTCTTTCCTTTAGGGTGTTGTGGTTTGCAATAGAGGTATTGAGTGGCCATTATGTTCAGTCTATAGTCTACTTTCAGTACACATCTCGCATCCCGAGCGAGTCCTCCAAACACCCTTTACTTGGTGTTCCCTTCTCTATCTGAGCCACCTTTTCCCCCAGCATGTGCTGCTGGCTTCCAAGCTGTGGAGCAGACCTCCTGGTACTTATCTCAACTATTCTTGGGTGTTTGTCTCCCATTCTGTTACTTTATATTCCCCAGATGAGTGCAGTCTTTCTATGTCTGTCCCTCTCCTTCTGACTCATTTCACTTAGCATGATACGTTCCATGTAGAACCACTTGTTTGTAAATTTCATGACTTCATCATTTTAAAATTTCTAACATCATTTCTAACATTTCTAGTATTCCATTGTGTAGATGTTAAAGTTTCTTTAACTACTCATTTGTTCTCGGGCACTTGGGTTTTTTCCAGATTTTGGCTATTGTGAACAGTGCAGCAATGAACATATTAGTGCAAATGTCATTTCAACTATCCTTTTTTGCCTCTCCGGGATATCTTCCCAGGAGTGGTATTGCTGGGTTAAATGGGAGCACAATTTCTAATTTTTTGAGAATGGTCCATCCTGACTTCCAAAAGGGCTAAACCAGTATTCCCACCAGCAGTGAAGAAGAGTCCCTTTCTCAGTTACAGAGTTTTATTTTAATTTTCTTGTTTCTGGACCACATCCAGGGGTACTCAGGGACCACTTCTGGCTCTGTGTTCAGGGGTCATCCTGGCAGTGTTTGGGAAACCAAATGGGGTATCTGAGATTGGACAGTCCGCAAGAAAGAACAACACAATTCTTGTACATAATAAACTTTAATCTCTTTGGCCTCCAAAATTTCATCTTTCATGGGTTTTAAGACTATGTCTTGCATTTTACTCCAAAGACTCTTCTTCTAGAGGTCTCATTTTCTTAAAGTATTATATTAGTAGTCATTTTCCTAGGATTATGAAGTCTGTCTCTTTCTTCCTTCCTGAATATCATCAGGATATTATTCCTTTCTGGCCCTGAGGTTCCTAACTGACAATTTTTCTTCAATCACTAAAATTATCGTGTAGCAATGTCCTCCCGTTGTTCAGCGATTTGCTCAAGCGGGCACCAGTAACGTCTCCATTGTGAGACTTGTTGTTAATGTTTTTGGCATATTGAATACATCACGGGTAGCTTGCCAGGCTCTGCCATGCAGGTGGAATACTCTCGGTAGCTTGCCGGGCTCTCTGAGAGGGGCAGAGGAATCAAACACGGGTCGGCCGCGTGCAAGACAGATGCCCTACCTGCTGTGCTATTGCTCCAGCCCCACTAAAATTATCAGCAATAAAATTTATTCTTTGATGAATGCTTCATATTAAACTAGACTATGACAAAAGGAAAAAGAAAGGAAGGAAGGAAGGAAGGACGGAAGGAAGGAAGGAAGGAAGGAAGGAAGGAGCGGAAGGAAAGAGAGCTCAGAGTGCTGAGCACATACTTTTACTCTGCATGGTTCCACCACATGTAGTGACCCTTGAGCACCAAGCTAGGAGTTGCTTCCAAACCAAAAAATTAAATTAATAAATTAAAGAGAAAAAAAAACTCCTCCTATCTTTATAAGTGCCAGATTGTCAGATGTTACTTTATTACTCTCCCTTAACTATATAAAAGGCAAATGAGGCCAAGGTTAGGAGGGTCAGAATCAACGGAACTAAGACTCTCTTCCCTTTAGGCTACATTCTTGGTTGCTGTGGCAACTGCTGTGTCCGACAGATCTCTCATTACAAGATGCTTCCAGAAAAGGGCTTCTGTATTAAAAATTTCCTCTGCTATCTCTTACTGCGCACTTTCAATAAATGCTTGGGTTTAATTGCCAAAAGATTATATTTTGTCAAAGTTATATAGACTCTGACATTATTGGAGTTTGTTCTACAACATAACACAGACTCCTGTCACACTGCAAAGAAGTCATTTTCTTCTTGGAACCACTTCTATAAATTCAATCTCTTTCTTGTTCTTTTTCGTTTTTGGTGTGCAAATTGTGGTTTTTGGGCTATACTAGTGGTGCTCAGGGTTTACTTCTGGCTGTGCTCAGGGATCACTGCTGGTAGTGCTGGGGATGGAACTGGGTCAATGGCATGCAAGGCAGGTGCTTCATCCTCTGCACTATTTCTCTGGCCCTCTGAAAGCAACTCTTAACCTTACAGTTACTCACTGATACTTTCTTGACAAGAAAGTGTAAAAGACAAAACACTGGCTCTGTCACACGGTGGAGGGTTGGTGTGGGCTGGGGTGGGGAGTGGTCAGCAGTACTCTGTGTGCTTACCCTCTGTTCTGTAAGTCCTCTAAGTTCGAGGCATTCCATTCTGAGCCCTGTGGAACAAAAAAGATAGGATTAGAGAAGATGGGTAATCAGACAAATACAATATTATTGTTAGGGAAAAAGGGCATAATTTCAAAAAAGACAGCCAATAATGTCTATGTGCCAGGCATTAAATGTTTAGGTTTTTTTTTTTTCAGGGGTATGAGTGTGGAGAGTTTGGGAGCCACCCCTTATGGTGCTCAAGGGCTACTTCTGATTCTGTATCAGGAGTGACTCCTGGTAGTGTTAGGGTGAGGGGGAACATATGTGGAGATATAGAGTTGGGTCAGATGAAGTATTCAAGGCAAAAACCCTAATCCCTTATATTATTTCTTTGGCAAAATGTTTAGTTTTTTTTAACAGATTTAATTTTTATAAATGTTAAGTAAAAAGTTGTCCTCATTTTGACTAGAGGTTTTTTTGACCATCCTCCAATGTCTATTATTAGATGTCTATTATTCCTGTTTATAATGGATTTTTTCAATAGCATGCATCATTTACAATAATAGCATGTATATTTATCAATATGCTTATTTACTGCCTTTCCTATCCATTTATATAAGCATGCTGAGAGCAGGAAACTGGTCTCTTGTTCTTTATGAAAACCCTGGCAAGTGCCTGGTACCTGGCAAGGTATTCATAAGTATTCAGTAAATAAAGCAAAATGGCTTCATATTTTTAATTACCATGAATTAAAAACACATAATTCATTTTCAAGGCCATATTCTTTCCAGTGCACTAATTACATGTAGGAAGTTAGGGCAGGGTGAGTAGGATATGGGCATGTTCCGTGTATGTCAGTGAAATGCAGCTTCTGTCAAACAAGTGAGGGAAACGTAAAAAATAATGAAAGGGGCTCTATTATGTGGAAGATATATCAATTGCTAATATTTTGCTACATTTGATTCTCCTCTCCCCTTCTTTTATTTTTTTAATAAAACTTTCATTAGTGAAACACCATGAGGTACAGTTGTAGACTTACAAATTTTGTGCTTTCTCTCCTTCTTTTAGTATAAAAGGTAAAGGTAAAGGCCCTCCCGTTGATCGTCGATTTGCTCGAGCGGGCCCAGTAACGTCTCCATTGGAGACTTTGTTGTTACTGTGTCTGGCATATCGAATACTCTCGGTAGCTTGCCGGGCTCTCCAAGAGGGGCGGAGGAATCGAACTCGGGTCGGCCATGTTGGCTGCGTGCAAGGCAAATGCCCTACCGCTGTGCTATCGCTCCAGCCCCTCGGCCTTTTGGCTAAGATCATGTGTAGTATCTGTTCTTTTAGTATATTTCATACTTTTCTTCTGTGAAAGAGTATGAAATATATTAAAATACTGTCATACTCATATGAAAGTAATGAGTATGATACTTCAGTACTTGATCATTAAAAAACTCTTCTATAAAAAAACTCTTCTATATAAAAAAACTCTTCTATACATCATTTTTATAATTGAGAAAGAGAAAAGTTATTACAATTGTAATCTAATATGCCATCATATTCAAGTTTCAAAAACTGTCTCAAATTTGGATTTAAAAATACTGTCTCTCAGAAAGACTGCATTCATCTGGGGAACATAAAGTAACAAAATGGGAGACTAACACCCAGGAGTGGCCGAGATTAGTACCAGGAATTTTGTTCCATGACTTGAAGGCCAGCCACATATGCTAGGGGAAAAGGAAGCTCAGACAGAGAAGGGAGCACCAAATAAAGGGTGTTGGGAAGATCCTCCCAGGATGGGAGAAGCATGCTGAAAGTAGACTATAGAACAAACATGATTGCCACTCAATGCCTCTCTTGTAAACCACAGGACCCAAAAGGACAGAGAACAAAAGGGAATGCCCTGCCACAGAGGCAGGGTGGGATGGGGGGTGGGAGGGATGCTGGGACCCGTGGTGGTGGAGGATGGGCACAGGTAGAGGGATGGGTACTTGTATAATTGAAACCCAAGCACAAAAATTTGTAAGTCTATAACTGTAGCTCATGGTGTTTTACTAATAAAAAAATAAATAAAAAAAATACTATCTCTGAGGGTAGGGAACTTGCCATGCATAGGGATGATGCAGGTTCCAGCCCTAGGACCCCATAAGGTCTCCCAAGCCTACCATGAGTGATCGCTGAGCACAGAGCCAGGAGTAAGCCCTGAGCAAAGCTGGCTCTGGCAAACAAACAAACAAAATATCTGTCTCAAGGTGACCTTTATATTCACTCAGGCAAGGATCATATTTTATAGTTACTAGCTATATTCCTAACTTTTCTACTTGGTTTTAGTGCCACATCTGGTAGTGCTTGGGGGTTACTCCCAATTCAGTCCTAGAGTGACCCAACAGTGCTGGGGAAATCAAACCTGGGGTTCCACAGGTAAAGCACACGTTTCCAGGCTTCTGAGTCATCTCCCTACTTCTGCTACTTTTGAAAATCTAGAATATGGGGTGGAGAGTACAATAGGTAGGTCATTTGCCTTGTACGTGACCAACCTAGTTTGATCCCTGGCATCCTGCATGATCCCTCAGGCCTGTGGTCAGGAGTGATTCCTAAATGCAGAGCCAGGAGGTATCCCTGACCACTGCTGGGTGTGGCCCCCAAACCAACAGAGGGTAAAAAAAAACTCATCCTCCTAATGAAACTTTTGTGTTTCATTATAGCATTTTTTGTTTGTTTCTGGGCACTCCCAGTGGTGCTGAAGTTTATTCCTGGTTTTACACCCAGGGATCCTGGTGGTTCTGGGAATTGAACCAGGGTTGGCCACATGTAAGCAAGCACCTTAACCTTTTATCTCTCTGGCCCTTAAATTTTGTTTGTTTCTGGGCCACACCTGGCAGTGCTCAGGAATCACTCCTGACCATGGGCCTGAGCGACCCTGTAGGATGCCAGGGATCAAACCTAGTTTGGCCACGTGGAAGGTGCTCAAGTGCCGGGCATTGGCCATAAGCAAAGCAAGGACCCTACCTGCTGTATTACTGTTCCTGGCCCCATGGCCCCTAATTTTTTTTTTTTGGGTCACACCGGCATTGCACAGGGGTTACTCCTGGCTCTGCACTCAGAAATTACTCCTGGTGGTGCTCAGGGGACCATATAGGATGCTGGGAATTGAACCCGGGTTGGCTGCATGCAAGGCAAACACCCTACCTGCTGTGCTATCACTCCAGCCCTGGCCCCTAATTTTTTTAAATTTATTTTTATTTACTTTATAATTTATTTAAAAAATTTTACTAGTGGAAACATCATGAGGTACAGTTGTAGACTTAGAAATTTTTGTGCTTGGGTTTCAGTTATACAATGATCAAGTACCCATCACTCCACCAGTGCCCATTTTCCACCACCACAGATCCCAGTATCCCTCCCACCCCCATCTCCCACCCCAACCCCCATTCCACCCTGTCTCTGTGGCAGGGCATTCCCTTTTGTTCTCTCTTTCCTTCTGGCCCCTAATTTTTTATCTTACAGTTTCAGCATCAATTCCTGATCTTGCTCAACTAAATTATTTTAATAGAAGTTACAAAGTTGTGATTTTTCTAGTTTCATTATTCTTTCTGTATGTTGGCTGCCATTCTGAGATTCAAGGTAAAAGAAAGCTCTAACTATTCAATCCTTCAAATCTTTATTTAAGAGTCAGTATAGCCCTTTAAATTCCTTCTGTATTTAGTATGTTACACTTCATTACGATTATTTTTTTGACACTCAAGTTATCCTGAATTGGGCCAGTAGGAACCTCTTTGAACAGCCCTCACTGCTCTGGGAAATGGAGTCACACTTGGCAGAGCATAGATGGCCCTCCCACTTCTGCTTTGGGGACCATGCAGTGCTGGGGACAGAGTCCAGGCTCCCACGCAGAGCATGCGCTCCACTCCCTTGAGCTTTCTCTCCCTGGCCTCAGTCTCCTTTCGGTATGATACACTTGCTTTCTGTTCAAAATGTTCTTCCAGATTTGTGCACAGAAGCAGCCTAATCTCTGAGGAGTCTCCTCTTCCATTTTGATTTTGTTTATTGAGCCATGCTCAGGGTCTTCTACTCCTGGCTGTGTCCTGGGAAGGGGGACTGTCCAGCAGCACAGTGTTCAGGGCCTTGTCATGCCAGGAATTGAACTCAGGACCTAATGCATGCAAAGTCTGTGCTCAAGCCCTTCAACCATCTCTCCAGCCCCCAGGAATATTTTAGGGATGAGAGATAGTACAGCAAGTAAGGTGGTTGCCTTGTATACTTTTTTTCTTGTTTCTGAATTTTCTTTCTTTTTTTTTTTTTAATTTTTATTAGTGAAACACCATGAGGTACAGTTGTAGACCTACAAATTTTTGTGCTTGGGTTTCAATTATACAATGATCAAGTACCCATCCCTCTACCAGTGCCCATTTTCCACCACCACGGATCCCAGTATCCCTCCCACCCCCCATCTCACCTTGCCTCTGTGGCAGGGCATTCCCTTTTGTTCTCTCTCTCCTTTTGGGTGTTGTGGTTTGCAAAAGAGGCATTGAGTGGCAATCATGTTCGGTCTATCGTCTACTTTCAGCATGCATCTCCCATCCCGGGAAGATCCTCCCAACACCCTTTATTTGGTGCTCCCTTCTCTATCTGAGCTGCCTTTTCCCCTAGCATGGCCTTGCACGCTCTTACCTGAGTTTGTTCCCTGATACCCCATGTGGTATCTCAAGTACTTCCAATTCAAATTCAGTACAAGACTTAAGTGTTTTTTCGTCATTTGCCCTACTTATACCACAAACAACAATAAATCTACTAAATTCAAATTTTCTTTGCAGTTCTTTTTACCTTATTTTATAAAAATTATCATATGGGGATGTATTTCCTTCCCATCCATGAATACAGTATTAAAAGTTACTTGAAAAGGAACCAGAAAGTTTAGCAGACCAAACGCATGCTTTGCATGCAAGAGGTTTGGGTTCAATCTCTAGCCCTTTATGGTTCCCTAATAGCACCAGAAGCAATCCCTGAGCACCTAGGTGAGGGACTGGAAAGATAGCTCAACGGGGTAAGTGCATGCTTCGGATGTGGGAAAGCAGAGGTTCAA